AATTTAAAAAAAACAACTGAATTGTACAACCCTCCAAGGATGACTATGAAGTCTCGTCTTTATTAGTCTCACTGTCAAATTACACTAGGCCTGCTCTCCTGACAGTGTCTGCATAGAGCATTTAACACTAATTAGACAGTAAGTTTTGGTTCTAGCATTGACATCGAGTGTAGAAGCAAAAGGGTTATTAAATAGAAGTAATAATTGCACAGATTTTTATTGTTTCAAGGGGAACTTAAAAAACAATCAACTCTCGCCCTAGCCTGTTTGGCTCAGTGGATAGAGCGTCAGCCTGCAGACTAAAGGGTCCCAGGTTCAATTCTGGCCAAGAGCACATGCCCGGGTTGCGGGCTCGATCCCCCCCACCCCTTACCCGCAGGAGGCAGCCAATCAATGATTCTCTCTCATCATTGATGTTTCTCTCTCCCTTCCTCTCTGAAATCAATGAAAAACAAACAATCAACCCTTTAGGTGCCTCTTATACCCTGATAGAAAGGATTAAGTATTGAGAGAAAATGTCAAGAGCTCTAGGAAAAGCTAAGTAAAAACCTATCTGTAATTACCAGTTGCACTAACCCTAATTAAGTCATACTAGAACACATGATACAGGCCTAGCAAAATATACAAAATGATCTCATTGTTCAAAACTATTGGGAAAATGAACATAATACAATTTTAAATTATTCCAAGGTTTTTAAAATGGTTCCAAAATTTCTAATTTAACAAATTTTTCTAGGACCACCGAATATATTTTTCTTTCCTTCTTTCTCCTTTTATTTTTTTTTATTTTTTATTTTTTAAAATATATTTCTTTATTGATTTCAGAGAGGAAGGGAGAAGGAGAGAGAGATAGAAACATCAATGGTGAGAGAGAATCATTGATCAGCTGCCTCCTGCCGGCCCCCTACTGGGGATCGAGCCTGCAACCCAGGCATGTGCCCTTGGCCGGAATCGAACTGGGGACCCTTCAGTCCACAGGCTGACGCTCTATCCACTGAGCCAAGCCGGCCAGGGCTCCTTCTTTCTCCTTTTAAAAAATAATTTGAATACCATCAAGTACTTTGTGGTCATGTAGTCTTAAGACTGGGCTCTGAAATTTCAATAATTTCACTTTACGGAACCATAAATCTAAAGGCAGAATGCTAACAGCTCGTTTACAGTTAATGCTCCATGTGTACAAAACGACTCTGAACAGAGGCAAAAGTTGAAGGAGGGATGTGTGTGTGTCCATATGCTTTCTCTCTTCAAACTCCCTGTCATGGTTCAGTTCAATCAGAAAGGAGCCCAGCCCAGCTGGTGTGGGCTCATAGCGTCGACCTAGGAACCAGGAGGTCACAGTTCGATTCC